TTATATTTTATGTTTTGTACAATTTTAAATTATATTTTTTACAAACTTATCTTATAGTTCTTCTTCTAATTTATTCTTATCTTCTATTTTAATATTATAGATTATTACTAAAATTAATCTTTAAACTATTTAATGAATTAACTATTATACTCTTTTCTCTTATATTATTACTCATATCCAAATCTAAGCGAGTCTAAACACTCTTGTAGGTTTAAATTAAGATTATATGTTTAAGTTTTTATTCTTTATATATAATTTAAAAACAAGTTTTTCTTTATAATAACTTTAATTGAATTTCAATTAATTAAAAATATGACCTCATCTTTAATAGTTTTTTTAAAAAATAATAAGATTATATCAATAAAACTGTGTTTATATTAATTATAATGTTTTAATAAGGTCTAAACTAAGCAACAAATCACAATTTAATGATATGACAAACAACAAACATTTTTAAATTAAATGTTTAGTAGATCTAGATAAAGTAACCAATTAATATTTAATCACATGCTAGACAGAAATATTTTTTAATCAAATATCTAGTAGAGTCTAGACAAAGCAACCAATCACAATTTAATTATGTACTGCACAGACAGACATTTTTTAATCAAATGTCTAGTAAGGTCTAGGAAAAACAACCAATCACAATTTATTTATGTGCTAGTAAATGAATATTTTTTAATCAATATGTTATAATAAATTTATTAGATAAGTCATGATTTATATAGTAAATTCATTATAATCAGGTCAACCTGATCAGAATACTAGGTCTAGGCAAAGAACCAATTACAATTTAATAATTTAATCATAAGCCAAACAGACAGACAATTTTTAAGTTTTACTTGTATATGTAAGTCTCGTTATGCTTCAGACAATAATAAAACATCTACCAAAGTCTAGTTATCATCAATAGTAAATAATAATGTATAAGTAATTTATTTTTTGACTCATTTTAATATACTATCTTAATATATTAACTATTAAAGAATGATTAAAAAAAGTAAATAAGCAGATAATGCTTTATAGTAATAAATTTAGTATTATCATAATTTAATAATTTATTCGTGAGAATAACCATGCTAAAAATATAAAACTTAGACATAGATAGCAAGGTTGACAGTAAATTAATAAATAATTCATGCCCAAATATGAGCTATATCAAAATATAATATAATACGCTAGTATAAATACAATAACAAGAATAAGTAGTGCACTGTGAAAGACAATACATTACAATAAGCATAATTAGTTCATTCTCATCGCATTAATTAAAAACAAAAAAGTGATCACTATGAAAAGTATATATTTTATGCATTATTTCTCGATTATTAATTGACGCCTGTCATTTTTCTGATTTGATAAAAATTTTTCAGAATTTAACTAGTTGATGATTTAATTAGAATTTAACTGGTTGACGATTTAATTAGAATTTAACTATTTGATGATTTAATTAGAATTTAACTAGTTGATGATTTAATTAGAATTTAACTATTTGATGATTTAATTAGAATTTAACTAGTTGATGATTTAATTAGAATTTAACTAGTTGATGATTTAATTAAAATTTAACTAGTTGATGATTTAATTAGAATTTAACTATTTTATGATTTAATTGATTAGTTATTTCAAAATTTTCCAAATCGATTAGTTTTTCAACTAACGAATCACTAATGCAGATCTCAATTCTTATTAATGATGGTAATAATGATAAATAGATAAAGTTTGAAAAATATTCTTATTTCTAATGAATTTTTATGTTGTTTTTTTCTTTCTACTAATGAATCCACAAAGTTATTCTTTCTGACCCTTGTGACCTTTAACCGAAAACTATAAATCAAAAGATAAAACAAAAAAAGTTTGATGGATAGAGAACAATGAATGTCTTAATACTTTAAAAATCTCATCAAGCAAAATATTACATATCCAATTCATAATATACAGGAACGTTAAACTTACAATGTTCAATACCCAAGTCATACGATTTAACTATGCAAGGACGCCCAACACAAGAACATGCAACACAAGCTCAACTCAAGAATACCCAAGAATGCCCAACTCAAGAACATTCACCCTAGAACACTTAACTAGGGATGGGTTCGGTCACGAACGGTCATAATCATTCATAGTCAATTTGCTAAATATTGAGATGATTTTTTACTTTTGAACTTTTAATTAAAGTTGTTCAGAATTAAATTCTGAACAACTTTAATTAAAAGTCCAAAAGTAAAAAATCATCTCAATATTTAGCAAATTGACTATGAATGATTATGACCGTTCGTGACCCATTTCCGAAGTAAATAAAAATTTTTTTTGAATTTAAATTAAAATTTACTGATATGATTTGAAGTAAACTGCATCAGGGTGCAGTACAAATTTTCCGGATATTGGTCAGAACTACTTATATAATATGCTGTTGGTTCAAGTCAAAAAAACTCGCCCAAATTCTTACAGTTGCCGAATAACGTATTATAGTACTAAATCTTGCTCTTGTAAAAAATTATATCTTGCATAAATTGAATATTTTCAGTTAAATGTAATATGCATAATAAATATTTCTGGCAGTTTTTTTTTTAATTTGCAAATTTTATACCGATTGAAAAATGACATGCGTCAATTAATAATTGACAGAATTTGAAAATGACGCGTAACATATACACGTAGTATACAAATGAATTACACTTGCTCAGATCAACTTTATTGATGAAGATACAGTATGGAAAGTTGTGTCACACTGCAGCTCTTGATACCAATATATACTAAACACTTCAAATATAATAATAAATACAACTTAATCTGGCATCACGTGCTGATCACGTAACGAAAACAAAAGAGGATTGAAACTTGAGCACACTGTGATAATGCATTCCTAAACTTATCAAAAAACCTCATGCATATTTCTGCCTAATCTTCTTCTCTTTCCGCTTTTACTTGCAACTTTCTCTTCTTCATCTTCTCACTTCTTCTATTTCATTGACTTCTCCGACTTATTCAACTTATTTGACTTCTTCGGCTTCTTCCCTTTCATCAGTTTTATCAGCTTCTTCCTTTTTTCAGCAGCAAGTACAAGCCCACGCTGTGGTGTGGCGCATTCTACTTGCTACACTACGGGTAACAACGAATAAGATACTTCTTTCTTCTTTCTTTATAGTGCCAAGTACGAACCACACACATTTCTGCTTGCTACCCATATACATACTTTCTACATTTTACTTCCTATCGAAGTGGCAAGTACAGGCCCACATGATGGTGTAGTGAATTCTACTTGCGACATGTATGTAATATAAAATGAATCGAAGTCCTAAAACAAGATCTCGGTTTTTCATCTATTTTCTCATATTTCACCCTCTTTTTTTTTTTGTTGCCTTCACCGAGGGCCTCATAGTTGGGATATAATGAGAGCAGGATCGTCGGAGTGCTATGACTCTTGCATTTCGCTTTTTTTTTAGCAGCATGTACAGCCCACGCGACGGTGCAGTGCATATTACTTAATATAATGGCAACAGAAGCTTTCTTCTCTCCTTTCTTTTTTCTCTTTATTTATTTATTTTTTGCAAGATGATAGCAAGTTTTTGGACTTTTCGCTTGATTTTATCGTGAGCGTTTTGGAGAAAGACCATAAACAATTTCCCGTGCACTTTATGCTTCACTCGCCCATTTGTTTTTTTTTTTCACATATTTAATAACCTAAATTGCATATGGTAGATTTTCTACTTGACGATTGACTTGTCTATTTTACAAGATTATAACCACCAATACGCAATAGCCTCGTCAATATTTTTAATCCTCATTACCACAATAGTATTCACTTGCTTATCACATATTTTCCAAAATGACTTGTTAATAAAGCCATTCCGGGTTCCACAAGAAGGTAATTTAAATTCATACTGATTATTTGCTATAGGATAAATTTCGGCTTTCTTACCAACTCATGTTGCGATTTCAGCTGCATGTTCTTCAGTAATAACTGATGGAAATGGTTCAGTCATACGTGTAGGTAATTCTTGTTTCAAAATTACTCAGGGTGGAAAAAATATTGATAGTACTCATCGATTTGTGTTCGCAGTTCTTCCGGTATCTGGAAATGCCGTATATGGGGTAACAAATCCTCAGGATATTGTTCAAAACTAAAAGTTTGCGCTAGTTCAATTTTCTGGTCCGATTGATGATAGCCTGAATTTTTGAACAGTTCCACATTTAATAACATAATTCCAAACGTTTACTTCTTCCAATTGCAAATCATCTCGTTCAATGAGAAAGTAGTGCATTTTCTGAAGTGATGTAAAATCTTTGGTGTCATAATCTTCGGTGTTAAAATTTTATTTGGATGCTTCACCAAAAATTGGTGCACTATTTTTGTAAATTTATAACTGATAATTTTTGAAGCTTCTTTGATAGACACGTGTAAAATGTAGATGAGACAATTAGCTTTTGTTTCAATTGAATTTTTTTCAAAATTTTTAGCTAATCTTTCTAATAGATGCTCTGAAGCAATAAGCATGGTCCAAAAATAAATGATTCCAATCTCTGGGAAGCAATGCGGTGTCTTGCAAGTGCATCTGCTAAATACTTTTCTTTCATTCAATCAAGTTCTTTCAACACAGATCCAGATGAATCAACGCAGTGTTCTTGCAAAGTGTGTTAGTTAATACTTTTCCTCCTTTCGATCCAAAAAATTTTACAATAAAAATCTAAAGGAATCAACGTGTTATTCTTACGATTGCTTAAAGTTAGTTGCGATGTAGGGCCAAACCTTTTTAACAAAATGTTCTTGTAAAATATATTTGCTGGCGTTTTTACCTTTCTGATCCGAGATCATCATCTCCCATATTTAAAAATTAGTTGTAGTTTTCTTGTAAAGTGCTTCTATAGGTGCTTGTCCTACTTATGATCTAAAATTGTTGTGCCTAGGTTTTAAATTCTTCAGCATATTGATCTTAATAAATGTACATCTATTAATGCTTTTATAATAAATCAATTCGTAACATCTTAATACCCCCCATTTAGGAAATCCCAGATCTGAGATGTAAGATAGCATATTCCGCTATTGTCATTGTAAAATCTGTACGAATATATCTTGCCTTACGAGTAAAATCTAACTCACTTGAGATATCTTTAAACGGTTTTAACTCAGTCTGCCAAGTAGGGTCGCGAAAATTTTGTACCAGCCATGTATTATCTGCTAGGAAAGAGGCGCCATACACAAAAGAGCCGAACCTAAGTCGGAGTGAAGGAAAAATGCACTGCTGGTTACTATTATTTATATAATCCATATCTGGCTACAAATGGGGTGATCCTCGCGTGACTATAAAAAATAAGGGCCCTTTATTCCTTTATAGTGCTGATTTAGTCACCATAACCCGTCGGCAGGGTTGACAATAACCAGCAGGTATCGAACCTATGACTGCTGGCAACAGTCACACGCTTCCACCACTTTACTATATCGGAATGAATTAAAATAATAATACATCATTATTTATTTCTTCAATTGGGATCTTCGAATGATTTTTCTATTTTAGGCAAGTCGTGTCCAAGTTAATGTTACTTTTTTGATGCATTTAGGGATAAAGATTTATAAAAATATCAAGAATGTGATTTATGCGATATGCAGATCAATATGTAATTGATCACTTCTTTAGCAACCTCTTATTTACTACAAGATCCGGTGCAACCTCTGTGTAATGTGAAATCGAGGCCTTTTCAAACCCAAAAATTTTTCGCAAACTGATTTACTAAATAAAATAAATTTCGGGACGTAAGAATGATGATCATAATAAAAAAAGGATATTAATTATACATTACCAAAGTTACTTTTTACTTTAATAAAAAAAATTCTGTTCAAATTTTACTTTACGATATTTTTTATTACCAATTTTAACCTAGAGTGTCCAGGTTATGCAATCATATTATATGCGCATAATAAATCTTTTTTTATATTCACAGAGTTATTCTGGTCATGTGGCTCAAGCATGATTGGTAGATTTGATTTGTAAATATTACAATAATTAATAAAGCAATTTTTTTTAAATATTCAAGGTTTTAATAAAAAATTTTTTTATAAAACATTTATAAATATTTTTTCAGAAACTAAACATTTAATTAAAAAATATAAATAATATAGTTACTGTTATAAAATAACATTATAGAAATTTTTTATATAAAAATAATTTTTATGCACAGAAAAAAAATTTTTTATTCTTGTTTTTAATATTCAAAAAAATTTTTTTTATTAGTTTTATCAAATCACTATAGGTTATAAAAAAATTTATAAAAATGAATATATATAATGTTGCTAAAAAAAACTTAAAAATTTAATTATAATTTATATTTAAATTTTTAGGTTTTATTTTTTTGGTATTAGGTTAAAACCTTGTTTTTATCTTTATTTATTATCATTAAGTAGTAACTACATAGAGATTTGAATGCAAAAAAAACTTTTGTATATTTTATAGTTAAAACCAACATTTGTAGTTAAAATTAATTATTAAACTGCTAACTATAAAATTATAAGTCTAAGTAATAAAAATATTATATGCAAGAATAAGAACTTTAACATATCTATCTGCAGTTTAAACCTACTAAAGTGGTTAAGGCTCATCTAGATTAGTTAAAATTTTCTAAATAATATGCATTACTCTAGTATATACTAGTAAGTTACTTATAGATTATATAATTATTTATATTATTAGAAGTTAGTTATATCATTATAAAGAAAAAAAATAAAGATAAAATAAATTAAATAAGAAATAAGTATAATTAAAAAGATAAAAAATGATGTCAATTAAATAAACAAATAGATAAAAAAATTAATAAAGTTATAAGAATGTAGTTAAAATATATAGTATAAATTAGATAAATAAATAGATAAAGAAAAGTTAACAAAAATATATGACTATAGTTAGAAAAAAAGATTATTATCAAATTTATTAATGATTTTAGATACATTAAAGATATAAATAAAGTAAGTTTCTAATATTATAAGTATAATAATATTAAGTTTTTTGATAATATATTATGTGCTGTATCATCACTTCTAATACATCATATTTTATAAAATAAATTAAAAGCTTATTAATAATATTAAATCTAATGACTGTTATTTTAAACTATACTTTTAGGATTGTATATACTATAATATT